GGTTACTGTACTAATTATGATGAAGTTCTGCTCCTGATGCTGTGTCATCCAGTCATTGGAATCTGGGGATATTCGTGGATTACCTTGTTTGCTGGGATTATTACTCTATGGTATTTTTACTACTTGTTCCTGAGCCTCACTGGGATCTTTAGTGGAGTTCATCTATGAAATACCAGGTCTCCGCTACAACATATTTACAACGCTCTTGTAATTAAAGTGAAATTTTTATTTATCAGCATACAACAATACAAACAAGTGTGCTGAAGAAACACGAGGAGATGCTGATTTGCACATTGCAGCTTTTTGCAGCTCAGGTGCAATAGCCTCTCAATGCTTTCATATAAGAAACTGGGTGAGTGAATTCATAAATACCTTCACTGGTGGTACTGTGTGCACCCCTTCTCCCCAGTAGTCGGGCTCTCTGGTCTGCAGCTCCACCGGGAGTGAGCTGCATACCACGTGGTAAATTTTGCGATCTTCAGAGAATTTGCTTGGTAACCAGCGGCAACATTCTGACCAGCAGGAGATCGCGAGACACTTCCATCTGTAGCTCACTCCCGGAAAATATGCAGACAGGAGGCTGGCTCTCTCCTAGGCAGACGGACTGGAGGGGCCTTACACCAAAGAAGCATTATGGGCAAGCCGCCGGGCCCCCTCCTGTGTCTGTTCCTCGGTTTCTGACCTAGGATCCGACATGGTAGTCTGCCCTAAGGCGACACTAAAATCTCCTAATTAGAGAGCCGCCTCTGCCTGCACAGGTCTACCTGTTAGGAGACACAAACAGTTTGGAAAAGGTGAGTAAAAAAGCATTTAAAAGTAATCAGAAGGGGCATGAAATTTAAAGGGTTTCTTTAACACTATAGTGTCAGGAAGACATGTTTGTATGACAATATAGTGTGTCTTTAAAGTGACACTCCAGCCAGCCAGACCACTTCTGCCCATTGGATTGGTCTGGATGCCAACTCCAACTACCCTTGGAGGAGCTTCCGGCTTCTTAAAACACTTTTCGTGTTTTAAGAGACGCTGGACGTCCTCATGCAATGCATGAGGACCTCCAGTGTCGCCGTAATCCCCATAGGAAAACAGGCTGTTGGCTGACGGTGGGGGAGGAGAGTGGGCAGAGCCAAAAACAGCGCCGAAGGTGACCCCTTCAGCAACCTGGGATGGGAGGTGGGAGGGAGGGACCTGCAGTGCCAGGCAAATGGATTTGTTTTCCTGGCACTGGAGATTCCCTTTAAGTAAACCTGTGAAGCAAAGTTCAACTAAAAGCAGAAATAAAATCAAAACTTGAATTAAACTTGCCTTTTGATGTTATGATTAGTCTTTTCATCAAGGCCGTTGGTCTGTGGGTGATATGCCGCTGTCACGCTTCTTTCGATTCCAAGAAGATTGCAAATCTGGTCGTTGAGCTTGAAAGAAAAAAAAAAAAAGTAGGAACATATAATTTTTTATAAACATATTGCAAAATAAAAACAACAATGTTAAAAGTACACATACTTGATTGACGAATTCTTTACCCTGGTCTGAAAGTATACGCTTGGGACAACCATGTTGATAGACCATGGAGCAAATATGGCGTCCCACCTCAGCAGCACATTTTGATTTCAGAGGAAAAGCCTCCACCTACTTTGAAAAGTAATCCGTAGCCGTCAATATGTACTTAAAGCCATCCACTGTCTCCGTGAAGGGACCTGTTAGGTCAATCCCAACAAGCTCCCAGACAGCTGATACCTAATGTGATTTAAAAAAAATATACTAAATTTTTAAATAAAACAATGTAAAAACATTTGTTATGCAATACTATAGTAGATATTTACCTTAATACATTGTAATGGCTGTGGAGCAGACAATGGCTTTCCAGACTTCTGGCAATTATCACATTCCTGGATCTGTAGGAAATGAGTTGTTAACCTATGTACAAGCTTTCATTAATATAGTAAAACACAAAGATAATTAATGTGTACCCATTTATCAATATCAGTGGCTATTCCATGCCAGAAGAATCTCGAGGAGATGGCCAACCGCATTCTGTTGATGCATGTATGTCCTCCAATGCCTCTTCTTCGTTTTTAATAACTCCATCTTCCAACAAAGAGCGCTCCTTCTGTAATGAAATAGTAAGATTAAAGGGTTTGTTTAATTACAAACAACTAAGATTGACGGTATTTTTGATACTCACCCTTTAAAGTAAATTTGGCAGTGGTCTGCCTGAAATTCTGCCTCTGTGTCTCAGAATACCCGGGTGGGTATTCGCCAAAACAGAGGAATTTGACGATGTCGTTGTACTTGGTCTCCATTTCTATAAAAATTGAACACACATCATTTTAAAAATGTATGTAAATCACTAAAAACTATCCTAAATGCCATACATAACAACCACTTAACATATGTAGCCACAAACTGAAACTAGCCTTTTCACAGTATAAGGAAAACTTCCCCAACATGCGGTGTAAAATACCACAACATAGTGTAAAGTCCACTAACAATGGACACTACAGTGTAACAGAGTAAATCTACTGCACAGCCTATGAGGATAAAATGTTAGTCTTACAAAAGGTAACAGTATGGGTATTACTCACCGTCTGGTAGTCTGATAAGACTGGACACTGCTAGACAAGTGAGTAGATCAAATGCCGTGCCTGTAAGGGAACAATAAGGACCAAATTATGCAATATAATTGTATTGCCACGGGGGGGGATGGGGGGGGGCATAGTTCAGACCAGCAGAGGGCAAGTGTCAGTACAGATTTTGAGGTTAGCTAAAAACAAGTATTTTCTTACCTTAATGGTGTCCTGGAAATCCTTCTACAACTGCACCCACAGGATGGTGAAAGGGTGTTAAGTGTAGTAGAATAAATGAATAGAATAGCAAACGTGCAGTAAGCACAATAAGCACAGGAAAAAATCAACCAACACAACCAGTGCACATGAGACAAGCTCCAGCAAAGGCTAATGGTCAAGTGATTTTTGAAAATCAGCAAGTGAGATAGCTCCTACCCAATCCATCGAGTGTGCGCAGTATAGGGGTAGGGAGATTTCACAGGGCTTAATGGCCATCAAATTTCCCTACCCCAATGCTGCGCACTCGCGGTGTGTGAAGTGCCCCCTGGCCACAAGTGCGCTGTAACTCCGATGGGAGTACACTAGTTTGCCACTAGTTTGTCCTCCTCCCTGTGAAAAATCCCTATTTATTTGGCGTGCGCCTGCGCGGCAGCGCACACCCCTGTTCCAACGTCACTTCCGGTGCGGCCGCGTCACCGGAAGTGACAAGGGTAGGGTTTTTTAACGGGGTAGGGAATTTTGATAGAACACTGGCTTGCGAGGAAAAGGGTTGTGAAATGACCGGACAAGACGGGGAGCATGAACCTGGTCCGCAAGAACCCAACTACATTCCTCCAGGCCATATCCCTTCCATTCAACCAGATAAGACAGAACACCTCTAGAGAACTTGGAGTCTAAAATAGTTTGGACTTCGTACTCCTCTTGATTACCTACTACCAAGGGCGGAGGAAGAACAATAATTTTTGTGTATCGATTGCAAGTGAGGGGCTTAAGCAATGATACATGGAAGGAATTAGCAATTCTCATATGAGCAGGGAGTGCCAATGAATGTCACAGGGTTTATACGACGGAGGACACGAAAGGGACCTATAAATCGAGGAGCTAGTTTCATGGAAGGAACCTTGAGTTTGATATGACGTGTGGACAACCAAACCCTGTCCCCCACTTGATAAACAGGATTGGCACCCCGTTTCTTATCAGCTTGAACTTGAGTACGTTTAGAGGCATTCTGTAATGCTGAATGAACAGAATCCCAAGTGTCTTGGATAGAAGTCAAACGGGTGTTTAATGCAGGAATATCAGTCCCTGAAAACGCAGAAGGTAAAATAGTGGGGTGATAACCTTGATTTACAAAAAATTGACTCTGACTCGAGGATTCGTGAGTCGCATTATTTCTGGCAAATTCAGCTATGGGTAAGAGTTCAAACCAATTGGACTGATTGGCATCGATAAAGCAACGCAAATAGGATTCTAAAGATTGATTGGCTCTTTCTGCGGCGCCATTAGTCTGAGGGTGGTACGAAGAGGAAAATGAAAGTTCTATGCCCAACTGTTTACAGAAGGCACGCCAGAACCTAGAGATAAATTGGTTCCTCTGTCAGAAACAATATTTTTTGGTTCTCCGTGTAAGTGAAAGATTTCCTTTATGAAAACTTGGACTAGATCTTGAGCAGATGGCAATTTTTTAAGAGGTATAAAATGTGCCATCTTGGAAAATCTATCTACAAGCATGAGGATGGTGTTAAATGGGTCCATGGAGCATCGGGTATCGGAAGTGGCTGTAGCAACCCAGGGGGAGATCGATGAGATGTTTTAGAAACTGCACATATTTGACATGCCCCTACATAGTCTTTAATGTCACCTCTGAGAGTAGGCCACCAAAATATTCTGGAAATAGCAGAGAGAGTTTTATGTATTCCAGGATGTCCTGCTGTCAGATTATCATGAAACACTCCAAATACTTTATTCCTTAATAAGGGTGAAACATACAGTTTGTCCTGGGGTTTCCCCACGGGTGCCCGAGTTTGATCTGCTATTATGGCACCAAAGAGTGGAGAAGATATTTCAGTAACTGTAGTAGCGATAAGACATTCTGGAGGTACGATCGGAGATACCTCTTGTGCAGGGGCTTCATCTGTATTGTGGGGATATTTATGGGATAATAGTAAACAGTTGAGAATTGCCCACTAATTCAATTCTCAGATCCCAAAGAACGTTTATCGTGTTAAGTGAGAAGTATTTCATATAAATAATATCACAATGTATAAAAATAGATTTTTATTTATAATGACAAATTAATTAATATTATGCAACATGCATGACAATAATCAATGAATATCCAGTATAAAATGATATGCAATACAAAGATATGGCTACACATGTCTCAACGGCTAAAACAGCATTTTCTGTCAAGACTTTATTTATGACTATCTTTCACAGACATAGAGAAAGTTTTACGCAGAGAACAGAATTCCTCAGAGTGCAGCGTAAGGTCGTAAAGTTTAGCTGACAGTTAGAATAACCCTTTCAATGCTGGCTAAATCTCCTAGGTAGTTAAGATCTATTCTTATGTCATTTTAAATAAAATAACATTTTAAACCAGTTCATTAGTCATTTCCAGGAACTATCCAATAAGAGAATCTACCATATTATATAAGCAGATTTTAATTTGTCTAAAAGATATCTTATCTTAATTTAGAGCAAATCAATACATCTGGATAAAAACAGCGGTATGCTAACACGTGATATCACATCAATATATAATTATTCTTAATTCCACCTGCAGAATGGAATGTTTATAACTATATATTCTTAGTTAACTAAGATTTCTTAATATGGAAATCTGACCGTGCTTTATCCAGTCATATATAATGCTATTAATACATTTTAATTAATTTAATTAATTAAATGAAACCAGTATAATTACCAGTTGAGTAGATATTTCATCCAATTGGTAGTCTCAGGAACTTATTTGGATGTCTCTTTGCATGGAGGTGTGTAGGTAATAGTGAAAGGTGGTGTTGGTTAGGAAGTCAGTGAAATTCTAAGTGTTAGAGTTTTAAGAGTAGAGTGTTAGTCTCAGATGTTGTCCGAGTTGGAGTCCCCAAACTTCCAATTCCTCTCTCCTCTTTTTCTTTCTTTGCCTCCTTGTATATCTCTATCTTCCCTTTGTCTTAACTTTTAAAGGGCCAGACTCTCTGTTCGTCATCAGTTGATAACCCAATAGAAGCACTAGAGGTGTGGTTATCTTCCAGATCGCAATTTAGTTATTTGGTCTATAGAGGGCAGTCTTGTCCCACTAAACATACCTATCCAGGAAAGAGTTAACTTTTCTTGGTGGCTATTTTGACGTCATTTTGCGTTATCTTTATAGTGCCATAACTTAAAATTTCAAAGGGTTTCTTTAAGTTTTTTGTCCAGACTGTGTCTGCAAATCTGAGTTTTGACCCGTAACTTACAATGGGACCTTATAGATATAGACAGTTAAATTTTATTATTTAATCTTCTGTCACAATTGTCTGGGTTTAGATTTGATTATATTCCATTAGCATTAGACAGTCTGTCCAACCCCCTTTCTTCTTATCACTTTTGTTTATAATATGCATTCCTTTAGCTCTGGGAAAGTGGTTAATTTACAGATAGAAATCTTGTGTCTTTTTGTTAACTTGAAAATAACAAAATGGAGTCTGGTCTGTTCAGAGTGACTCAGAATATACACTTTTAATTTCTATCATAGCACAAAATGTCTGCCGATATAAATACCCTGACAGTATCAAACTGTCTGGAGAGTGCATCTGCCTTGGTATTCTTTGTCCCGGGCCTGTATGTAATTATAAAATTAAACTGGGAGAGGAATAATGACCATCTAGCGTGTCGGGAGGACAATCTCTTAGCATCCCCAATATAAGCCAAATTCTTATGATCGGTAAAAATCAAAAGTGGCTCTTGGGAACCTTCCAAGAGATGCCTCCATTCCTTAAGAGCGAGAACAATGGCCAGTAATTCCCTATTCCCGATGTCATAATTTCTCTCTGCTGGAGTTAATTTTCGAGAGAAAAAGCCACGGGGATGTAACGGTGCATCAGGACTCTCTCTTTGAGACAGAATGGTTCCTACTCCTGTCTCTGACGCATCTACTTCTAAAATAAAAGGTTTTGGTCAGATCAGGGTGTGTCAGGACAGGTGCTGAAGCAAATAAAGATTTTAATCTTTCAAATGCCTCCTTTGCTTCTTTGGACCATAAATTACAATTTGCTCCTTTCTTGGTTAGGTTGGTGATAGCAGCGATTACTGATGAGAAATTCCTAATGAACTTACGGTAATAATTTGCAAAACCTATAAAGCGTTGTGTAGCTTTAAGGCCTTTGGGTAACGGCTATTGCAAGACTGCTTCCAGTTTGTGTGGATCCATTTTGAAACCTGAAGGGGATATAACATAGCCAAGAAACTGTATCTCAGTCTGGTCAAACTGGCATTTTTCCAGCTTACGGTATAAGCCATTTTTTAACAGGGTTTTTAGTAAGATTCTCACATGTTCGTGATGAGTTTCTAGGTCTGGGGAATAGATGAGAATATCGTCTAGATACACTAGTACGAATATGTGACGATATTCTCTAAGGACATCGTTAATTAAGTCCTGAAATACCGCTGGGGCATTGCATAGGCCAAACGGCATGACCAGGTATTTATAATGTCCCATTCTCGTATTAAACGCGGTCATCCACTCATGCCCTTCCATAATTCTGACTAGGTTGTATGCGCTCCTCAGATTGAGTTTTGTGAATACTCGGCACCCCTCAACCTATCAAATAGTTCAGAAATAAGGGGAATGGGATAGGCGTTTTTAATGGTAATTTTATTTAGACCCCTATAATCAATACACGGTCGTAGGTCTCCTTTTTTAGAAACGAAGAACCCCCCAGCCCCAGCAGGTGAAGCGGATCTTCTTATGTGACCCTTTTTGAGAGCATCCTTAATGTATTCTTCTAAACAAAGGGTTTCTTGAGGAGAAAGTGTATAAACTCCTCCTTTAGGGGGCATAGTGCCAGGTAACAAATTAATGGCACAGTCGTAGGGCCTATGTGGAGGTAATACTTCCGACTGAACCTTGTTAAATACTTCTTTTAAGTCCAAATACTGCGGTGGGATTTCTGTGGTTAAGGGAGGCGCTATAGGTACATTGATGGTACCGATTCGTTTAGGCACCTGTTTTATGCAATAACCTCTGTAACTCTTTCCCCAACTCACAATCTCTCCTTCAACCCTAGATTGTATTTTATTTGTCTTCACTGAGTGCCTCGACCCCTCGAGGCACTTTGCACACAAAGTATCAGAAGCCTGCCCGATGGCTTCTGATGCTCTGCTACACTGCCGGGCGCCATTTAGGGCAACCTGTATGTGATCGCTCCCAGGGAGCGATCACTCGGCGGCCCAGCAGACACAGGTATTGCAGGATGCCTCAACATCGAGGAATCACTGCAATACCCTTAGAGCGTCTGGAAGCGGTCATGATCGCTTCAAGTGCTCCTGTTTGCGGACCGTTTTTTGTCGGACGTACCTTGTACATCCGTGGTCCTTAAGGGGTTAAACAAAACTGCTAACAGAGTGAAAAGGTCTGAAGCAGGCACGGCCTATCAAATTACCAAACTATCAAAGAATGCAAAAACTGCTACCTCGATGTTCTATGCTTTGCAATGCATTCAAAGATGATGAATTAATGTTAATCAATTACATTTATCTTAACCTTAAAATTGATATACTACATAAATGTAGAATGAATAAATAGAAATAGGTATAAAGACCTACACGTACCAGGAGATCCCTGAACCAATAGAAAATGAACATAAAATAAAATAGTTGGAAGAATTAACAATATCAAACACATGAATGAAATACAATTATAAAAATGAACACTAGATGTCAGCCAAGTGTTAGGTGATCTCCCATAAGAGGGGGATGTTGACTAAACAATCACTAATCTGCAAATCTAAAGTGTTGAAATAAATCCAAATTCTGACCTGGATGTTCTATGGCTGAAATATACATCTATGCAGTCTCATTTATCACTCAGTAGTCCAATACTTTGTGAATAGTGATGTCGCGAACACGAAATTTTCGGTTCGCAAACGCGAACTTCCCCAAATGTTCGCGAACCGCCATAGACTTCAATGGGTAGGCGAATTTTAAAACACACAGGGACTCTTTCTGGCCACAATAGTGATGGAAAAGTTGTTTCAAGGGGATTAACACCTGGACTGTGGCATGCCGGAAGGGGATCCATGGAAAATTACACAGTTGATGCAGAGTCTGGTCTTAATCCATAAAGGTCATAAATCACCTAACATTCCTAAATCACAATGGATATGGATTGACACCTGACATATTGACACCTTGACACATGGATTGACACCTGTCCTCAGAGACCCTGATAAACACTGACACAGAGCAGAATAGGGACTGTTCCCTCTACATAGGGTCACTTGGCAGATATGGATTGACACCTATCCTAAGGATCCCTGATACACACTGACACAGAGCAGAATAGGGAATATTCACTAAATGCCAAACATTGTTATACAGGGGAATATTCAGTAAATAAGGATAAGGGGGGACCTACTGTCCTCCCGCCCCCACCCGTGAGCGGTGGGTGGGTGCCATAAAAATAATGAGGGGGGGACCTACTGTATGATGTTGTATCGATCAGGTAGTTGTAAGGGTTACGCCCTCTTCACAGTGACAGACCAAACTCCCCATTTAACGCACCGCAAACAACCGCAAACAGTCCATTTGCACAACCGCAAACTCCCCATTAGCACAAGGTTGGATACCAAGGTAGCCATGTCCCGTTCCTTGTCCTCACTGATGTCATTGAAGGTCTCTTCCTCCACCCAGCCACGTACAACACCAAGGGTCCCCGAAAGGTGACAACAAGCCCCCTGGGACGCCTGCTGTGTTTGGTCTTCCACCTCCTCAAAGCCACCTTCCTCCTCTGACTCCTCTTCTTCAGACTCCTCTCTCTGCATTGCCTCTCTCTACGTTATTCTAAGGTGTGTTAAGTAGTATTATTCTTATCAGTTTAATTCCTGTTATGTGCCTTTTTTTTTTGGTTTGGTTTTTGAAACCACAGTGCAGCACCAGAGGCCCAAAAAATTAGG